TATACAGCGTTTTTCATTTCATTATGTTTAGTTTTCATTTTTTTAAAAAGTACTTTAAACTGTATAAATAATGTAAAATTAAATTGAATTTATTAGCCAATCAGACTAACTTCTGCCTATGTAAGCTGGTCAGAATTATGAAAATTGCACTGTGCAGTGTCCCATCTCTAGACATGATCTATACTCTGGCACAGGTAGGGGTCGGCCCGTTAGCCCGTTGGTTTTTTTTAAAAAAGTGATAATTTATCATATGACTGGTATTTTTAGAAGTGGCTCAAATTAACTTTTAAAAAAGCCTGACTGGCCTAATGGGTCAGCTCATGCTGTACTCTAGGCTCATAGGCAGAAGTTTGCCTGATTGGCTAATAAATTCAATCCAATTTTACATTATTTATACAGTTTAGAGTACTTTTTAAAAAAAATGAAAACTAAGGAAATTCTGTCAATATTGGTCCGTTTGACATGAAATTTGAAGAGTATACACTTGAAAACCTACCGCATCTTTTCTACTAAGCGTATCTTAGTGAGAAAATCCCTCTGGAACCCGCTTCAACGTCAAAGTAGTAATGGCATTTTGCCTATGAAACCTAGGCACGGCATCCGCTACCGCAGTATTTTGTATAAATCTCGAGACTATATAAATTATAATCCCGAATAATGATGCAGTAGAATTGTCTCAATGATAGTCCAATGATGATTGTCATATTGCCATAACTTGCCGTAACTTTTCGTAACTTTAGCAAGTAAAATAATAAGTTACATTTATAATAACGTAACTTACTATATTACTTACTATAGTTACAGCGGGTTATGGCAATGTGACAACTATCATTGATCATTAAAGACAATGTATCACATGATACAAACCTTCGCTTAAAAGTTCGAGCTACGGTTGAGGGTAATCAGGCATGAATTTGGGTGAGTCATAAACGTTTATGCTAATGCAGTAATGCTAGGAAAAAAGTAATAAAATCACAAAGTATATGACATACTAAAGAAAAAAATGTCGGACATCAGTAAAACTTTAAATCCCAATTGGTCAGCATGATCAGATTTTCATATCGCATGAATTCTACTTGATTTATTATTTTAAACCTTTTTTTATAATAATCGGTTTTAAGGGTAACATAATTGTTTCATAAATTTTTGCCGATTCAACTGGATCTTACAAGTTGGTTGGTTAGCTTTAAAAAAGCGTACTAACCATGGTTTATATTATAAATTATTCAATGCTTTATTATGGTCAGTCTATAAATAAATCAATTATTTTATGGCACTTTTTACATAATATATAAAAATAGCTAAACTGCTTATACTTACCTATTTTCCCAACAAATTATGATACGTACCACTTTAATAATAATGGTTAATAATTTAATGCATATTTGCACATTTGTTATTAATTACATTTTAGGAGCGGCTAGCAGTTCTTGTATTGCATACTCAATTCTCTGCTTATGATTCAGTTTTTTGCTTTGAATAAAAATTGATTGTAAATATCTACTATTTTTCCTCTTTCATAAGAATATATTCAAACATTATTTTTTTTTATTAATTTTCCATATTTGCACATAATAACACACATTGGCGTTATTTTGAAATTTTTGTATTTTTTAATAATTACACAAAATTATGTTCATATCTGTTTCAAAATAACGTTTATACTGCATCTGAACTTAAATGGATTTACTTATTTATTCAATATTATACATTTTTCATAATGAATATATTATGCTCGGTATAACAATGGTTCGAAATATCGCACATGTGCGTTTCGAAATAACGCACAAATGCACAACTACGGTATTATAGATGCATGAACCAAGATTTGAGTGAGTATACTTTTTGGTTTTATTTATTTTGGGTTTTTTACTTAATCGTTGGTAACAATTTTCTCTACTTTAGCGCTAGAATCTAATTATTGGAGATGCGAAAGATAAGAGTTTTATTGATCTTTTTTTTTTATACAATTGTCCTTTACTAACTAATTATTCTATTTTAGAATTCTACTAACTTTGCTTTCATCTCTTTTTCACTATCAATTGTTATCAGGCATGATTCTCTTCTATTTTTCCATTTTAAGATATCATACCATTATAAACAATACTTTTTTTTTTTTAATACAAAATCTTCAAACTTGTTATTTCTCTCCCGCCATTCTGAAACCTGGGCGTTGTAGTTATATTCCATTCCCGATTTTGTTGTATGCGTTGTCTCCAAATTGTTTGAATTTGTTATGCAAGTTTCATTTCATTCAATTTTCATTCAATTTTCGGCTCGATCACGAATGGATGCATCAATCGGTATGGGGACACCGTTATAGATTGTACTACTCTGAGTTACGGTCTCTTGTTCACGGTTCATTTTACTTGTGACATTGCATACAATTACGTAGCGGTAGTACGTATGCACTTACTGTAGTAATGATCAGCCGTTTAGACATATACAGTCGACTCTGGATATAACGAACCTCTATATAACGAACTCAAAATTTAAAAATTCTTATAATAATTCGTTTTAGAAATTGCAATGGACCTTATGAAAACAGTAATTTTCTATGACGAACTTTTTTTTTTCTTCTAGAACCATAAGTTTATTATAGAAATAAGTTGATTGTATTAAATGTTGACAATTTCTTGCGGTCAACCAATTTTTTTGGCCTTTAGCCGGCCAAAATATGTAACGGCCAATGGTCAGTAGCCAAACTTCAGCCAAAAGTGTCCAACCTATATAACATTAATCAATCATATCACTAGCTTTTCTATATGAATATTTGATTATTTCGACTAAATAAATTTTTTGTCAATGGCTGTAGCCATTGTTTGGCCATTTGGTCAAGTGACAACAATGACTGCATATATATTTTATTATATTAAATCATATTAAAAATTTTACTTTTTTTGGTTTCGCAACAATTCATATACTTAACACGTTTGAGTCATGATTTACATGCTAATATGTATAAAAAATTAATAAATAATTATTATAATTCATAACATGAATGAGAGTGATCTAAAAAAATTTTATGCACAAAGGAGTATGGTTTGAAGTTTACTTAATTATTGTATTGAAAATAATATTTAGATGTATAAAGTATTTTTCATTGTATTTTTCGTCGTGATATTTTGCATAAATAAATATTTCATTTTATGACAAAAATATCAGGGAAAAAATTTCACGTGATCATATCACACGAGATTGAAATTTTTTATTTTTTTTATATACTAATTTATTTTATTTATCGTTAATACAAGATGTTTTATTCTTTAACCTTTAATAATTTTATTTAACCTGGTTTCTATTGTTCTGTCAATCTGGATAATGTTACTGGATTAGCTCTGATAATGCTGATAATGCTGAGAATGGTAAGAAAAATATGTGTGAAACTTTATATAATACAAAAATTTTAAAAAGGCTAAAGTTAGAAGCGGAGTTAAGTATATAATACTTCTGGAGTTGGTAGTTATAATTTTTATAAGGGTTCATATCAATTATAAATTAAACGTATATTTAAAATATTTATTTAAAGTAAAAGGGATGAATAAATAAAAGAACAACTCCAAGACAGGTAAATAAATTAATAGATGAATAAATAAATAACTGACAAAAAAATAAAATAAAATTGTAAAGAAATCAAATAATTGATATCAAAATATAACAAGAAAGCGATTCTTAATTATTATTAATATTAAAGGACAAGTCGAAATCCAAATCTTTATTAATATCAACGTGGAAAATTTAAATACAGAGTTTCATTAGGGGTTAGGGTAAGGATTAACGGAATTATAATGAATTTAATCTGACACAGATATTAACAGATATTAATTTGACATACAACGTGTATATAATTTGAAGGGCGTGTTATACAACGATATGAATGTTTTAAACTGAAACTAAAACTAAACCTAATTCAAGTGTTTTTAGTGCGAAATTGAATGAATAACACAAGTTAATATTACGAATGTAATTCTTAATTGTTCCGATTAACAAGGTTGATCTGAAAGATTAGACGATCTATTCACATGATAAACGACATGAGAAAGGAAGAAATAAATAATAATAATAATAAATAAATGAGAAAAAAAATAAGAAAACAAAACAGCGGCACTTATAAATTTTGTTCGTGAATTGCGCAGCATTACAAGATAATATTAAAGAGGATACTATAATAGAAGGGATCCTATATTTGGAGTACTAGTACTATCGCTACATATACTTACCATAATTTAATGAAAATCTATAATAAATTTGTTATATAAATGGACCGATTACAATACCAATACTAAAAAGGAAGTATTTAATTTTTACATACGTGCGTACGTACGTACAGTATGGATTAAAGTAACTATTAAGGGAAATAAATTAGTAAATTAATCTATATAATTATACTCAAATACCATTTATGGACTAGCTGGCATGAATACATACGTATATACGCGTATTTACTATGCATAAAAAATATTAAGTTATGTATGCGACTTGCATTTTTTTTATATATTTTTCTTGGCAGTATAAACAATCATTTAAAGTTTCCAAATATAATGGAAACCCTCATTATGTTTGCATACATGCTTACACCCAAATATTTTATATGACTATTACCAAAATAAAGTTATTAATGATAAAGCCAGGTATACGAATGTATATACAGTAAACCGTCCAATTTTCTATATGTTGGATAGAAAGTGATTATACGTACGTATTGTACACATATGTAAGCTGCGTTAAAACAAAATTGCATGCATTTTCAAGATCCTTTTAAAGAAATTCTTTTGCTATTGGCTTATGTCAACCTAAATGAATTGTAAAAAAAAAAAACAATTAAAATTTGAACTATATATGGACTTCTATTAAAATAAAGTTAGTTTCATAATTAATATTCTGTGACAGGGGATCTCTTGGCATCAATCTAACGGTTAGTAATATGTTATTTTATCGTATATATAAGCAATTTTTGCTCTAATTATTTGATTCTTTTTGTCTTCAATTTTTGATCAAAAATGCTTTCCTTTTTGACACTGGCCTACATTTTACCTTATTTATTCTTTTTCTCTTTTTTATCATTTCTGAATGTATCTCTAGCTTCTCCAGTCCCATTGGATGATGCATTTTCATATACTAACTGTCCGAATGGCCAAGAAAGAGTTTTTAATCTTACGATTAGTAGAAAATTTTTCGCTCCTGATGGTTTTAGCCGAGATATGTTTTTAATAAATGACCAATTTCCTGGTCCTCTTATTAATGTCACTAAAGGTGACACGGTAGTGTTGAATGTTAAAAATGATCTTGATGAAGATACTACAATTCATTCTCATGGAATGTTCCAACGCGGAACTCCTTGGTATGACGGTGTCCCTGGACAAACTCAATGTGGAATTCCAGCTGGTCAGACATTCTCCTATAGATTTCAAGTCTGTCAAAGCGGTACCTACTGGTAGTAAGTAATCATTCCTAAAAAATCTGTCTTATTAACTATCATAAATATACTCTTGATTTTAAAAAAATATATTATATCTTTAAAAAATAGTCACTCACATTCAAGAGCTCAATATATTGAAGGAATTGTTGGTGGCCTTGTAATTAATGATCCGGAGGATCCTTATATTAACCAATACGATGAAGAATATGTCGTACTAATACAAGACTGGTATCACACCGATTCTAAAATTTTAGTACGTAAATTCTTAACTCCCGAAAGTCAAGGAAATGAACCATCTCCTGATAATGGATTAATTAATGGAAAGAATTCTTTTAACTGTTCATCGGCATCACCAGGTAGTGATTGTTATAGTGATACTCCATTGGAACAGTTCAATTTTGTTCAAGGAAAAACATACAGATTTAGGGTTATTAATACTTCGTAAGTTCCTTTTTTTTTGATCATATTTAAGCATCATATTATTTATTTATTTATTATGAAAATAGTGCGTTTTCTGCTTTTATTTTCTCGATCGATAAGCATGAATTGGAAGTAATTGAAGTTGAAGGGATGATTACTAAACGCCACAAAGTTCATCGCCTTCCTATAAATGTTGCTCAACGTTATTCAGTCATTGTGAAGGCAGATAAGCCGATTGCTTCGTATTTTATGAGAGCCGAGATGGAAACTTCTTGTTTTGCTGTCGTATCACCCACTCTGAATCCTATGGTAAAAGCTATCGTTACTTATGAAAAAAGTAGTAACCAAACTCTATCTGAAAATCCTTGGAGTGACATTGTTACTGAATGTGTAGATTTGAATCCTAATGAACTAGTTCCTTACCATCCACAACAAGTTCCTGATGCTGATTATAATATAAATGTAATTGTTAGTTTCCGACCGGACGATAAGAATGTTACATTGGCATTTATAAACAATTCAACTTATGTGATAGACTTAAAATATCCTACACTTAAAAAAGTTTTTGATGGCATGAATCATTTTGTTCCTAATCAAAATGTTTTCTTAATTGAAAAAAACAAAGTTGTTGTAGATATTATTTTAATAAGTATGAATAATTAATTAATTTTTGTCAATTATAAAATATATAAATATATATTTATACTAATCGTGTCATATTTTTAATTATTTAGACACGGACGGTGGTGAACATCCATTCCACTTTGTATGCATTCTTAATAATTAATTAATTAATCTATTAATAGCTGATTAATAATTAATAAATAATTAAGAAGTAACTAATTTGTGTCAATTAAATAATTTCTCCGATTTTTAATTAGCATGGTCATGTATTCTGGGTACTTGGATCCGGAAATGGCACTAAGCCAAATTATAAAAACCTTAATACCAAAAATCCAATACAACGTGATACTGCGACCGTTCCTGCTAATGGGTGTGTTATGGTTTTTCATTATTCTTTTAGGTTTGATTTATGATCTATAGATTTAACTTTATAATAATTTAATTTTGTCATCAGATGGACCATTCTCCGATTTGTATCAAATAATCCTGGTACATGGGGATTCCATTGTCATATTGAGGTAATTTCATTATCTTTATTCGTAATTACAATTTTTCATTATACCTATCGCTATTTGACTAATATGATATATATATGAATATATTCCTAGTGGCATGTCGAATCAGGTTTAGTCGCACAATTCGTTACGCAACCAGATCTAATTAGGAAATTAAGCCCACCTGCTGATTGGAATGCATTATGTTCAAAGCCAAATAATTGAATAGATTTTTTATTTTTAAAAAATGAAATCCTTGGATAATATATATTATTCAAAAGTTGAATGACTTTTTTTAAAAGAAATTTTCGTTACCTAGCTCGCTTGTTATAGTATACTACTAGATTTATTTATATTTTTTACATTAACTACATAATATCTTAAATTTAGAAATTTTTTAATTTATTTTATTTTTAGAATTATTCTTATTAATAATTCTATTCGTGTATATGTCTAATTAATTAATAAAAAATTCAACTAACCTAGAGTCACAATCAAAAAGAACGCTTTTCGATCAATTCAAAATTTACAATCAGATTTAGTGTAAAGCTATAAACAAAAAATACGCACAACCGTTAAAGATACCACTAAAGTTACCACTAGTGTCAACATTTTTTATGTCCTAAAGAGTATGGGTCGGATTACACCAAGTTTAGTCGAATATCAATCTATTTATATAAACTAACTAATCCCAGAAAATATCATCAAATTTCTGAGTTTCGATCAATTTTGATTCGATTCTTTTTGGAGTACAGTATTAGCTTTTTTCAGGAGATCACCAATGCGGGGTTAACCAACGGTACATTTTTGATGTATTTGTAGTTACCTTTGATATATTAGTATAGGAAAATCGTACGCACTTGCTTACCAAGAACGCGGTGTGAAGCAAAGTGTATGGTTGCATAAAGAGTGAAGTATTTTGTACAAATCAATGTCTCTGATTAGATGGTATATTAGACGACTAATCACTGAACTTGTTTTCTAACTTGTTTATAAATATAAAAAAAAATAAAAGTGTGAGCGTAGATATAATTAAAGAATTAACTCAAAAATTTTATTTATAAAACTTTAGAACATTTAAAAGCATAACTGTTTCAAAATTTGGAAAAGATTAATTTTTTTACAAAATATGATCTTCTAATTATGTATTTTTTATTAATCTGGATTTTATTTTTAACTATTTATACAAGATTTGATATTTATGAATATTACAAAGATCAAAAGCAAAGAATCTTTCCTACATGTAATATTTGTCCTTTATTAAATAACGTTTTTTGAAAATTCCATTTTTACAAAATAAATAAATTGCTATTAAGATCCAAAGAACTAAATACCATTTTTTATAAAGATTTTCTGTTAATATATTTAGTCCATTTAAGACCTAAATAAGTTAAAGTACCATTTTTACAAAGTGCTTCTTCTAATGCTAACTCTCCCTCCGATCCAAGCTGGTTATTGTAAAGTATCAAGGAGGTCAATGTAGTGTTTTTGCATAGTGCATCTGCCAATACCTTACTTTCTTTAATACCAAGTCGATTTCTACAAAGAAGTAAATTGGTTAACGCGATATTCTTACAAAGTGCTTCGGCTATCACTTTTACTCCTTCATAGCCAATTCTATTACCTCCAATATCTAAAGATGTTAAACTAGTATTTTCATAAAGTGCCTCTACTATAAATTTCGTTTCTTTAGGACCAATATTACAATTATAAAGATCCAAGGAAGTTAGAGAATGATTTTTACAAAGAGCTTTTGCCATTGCTTCAAATCCTATGGTACCAATCTTATTCCCATCAAGAATCAAAGATCTTATAGAAATATTTTTACAAAGAGCCTCTGCAAGTTTTTTCCCACTATTACAATACATTTGATTATAACTAAGATTTAAACGAACTAATGTAGAATTTTTGTAAAGAACATCTGTAAATATTTTAATCCCTTCATCACCAAGTCTATTACCGCAAAGATCTAACGATAATAAACTTGTATTCTTACAAAGAGCTTCTGATAAAATTTTTATTTCATTAAGACCAAGACTACATCTACGAAGTTCTAATGTAGTCAAACAAGTACTTTTGTAAAGAATATTTGCTAATATTCTTATAACTTTTTTATATAAAACTTCGAATGATTTATCATTATGATAATTGATTACATCTATATCTAAATATTTGATCTTATCACTTGTTCTTAATAACATTGTAATCAATGAATATAAAATTATTTGAACTTTATCTTTAAATTCATTATATTTAGAATAATATTCATAAGTATTATTTGGTTCATATCCTTCACGACAAAGCCAATTTATAATACCATTTTTTAAATTATAACATCGAATTAATTTAATATAAGATGTATATTCAAATAATGATGATTTTAAATCATTTAATGATAATATATTCAATTGAATTAATGGTGCTTTTTCCTCTTCATTTAATAATAATAAACATGTTCTTATAATTCTTTTATCTGTACAATTAAATAATGATTCTTCCCATAATATTGGTATAACATTTCTACACCATTGACGGTTTACAAGAAGACATGAAAATAAACTTCCATAACATTTTTTAAGATTATTAAATATTTCAATGAGGCATTCATTTGGTAATTTTATCATTTTTTTTTAAAAAAAAAAAATTTTTTTTCCAAGTCATAAAAAATGAATCTACGTATGATGTTTTATTATGTAGGATGATGTTACATTTACGTATCGTTCGGAGTTTAGCGGAGGACAATGCGTAAATCTGTAAGTTTGTGTTTCATGGTCGCCGCAATCATATGGTTTTAATGATATAAGAAATATGATTGGATGTTGATTAAGAATATTTAGAATTAAGAATATGTATATATAGCGATAGTATTTACGTATATGTTTTATGATGATCCTTGAGCTAATTTGGGATGGAAAATCACTTTGTCAATTATTAAACATCTATATTTCTGTATTTCAAATGGTTTGGCGAAATGATTTCCCATCCCAAATTGGTTCGAGGATCACAAATATTTACGTCATCGCTTTGTTTTAATAATTAGTGTCAAACGTATCGTAAACCTATTTTTAAAATTTTGTGTAATATTTTAAATGCTTAGAAAGGACTGGTCTTAAATTTTTTTTAGATATAGTCTGTAATAATAAATGATGGAATTATTTCATCAGGTAATTTAAATTTGTTAAAATGGTGAATGACGAAATTAATTCGTCAGTTGTAATTAGTGCTCTGAACGGGTCGGTTCGGGTCGGGTTAAAAACTTTCGGGTTAGATCTTCAACCCGAACCGAACCAGGCCCGACCCGTCCCGAACCCGTCCCGAACCAGACCCGACCCGAACCCGTCCCGAATTTTTAAGGCCAACTTACCAAAATTTTAAATTTTACTAGTATGTAACCCATCATTTACACTAACGGGTTGTTGTTAAGTTATAAATAGAATAGATTTTACTATATATATAAGAAAATAAAATATTAAAGCTTACTGTAAAATGGTAGGCTTAATGATGTGTTACGTATAGTACAATATGTGAAATTTTTTTAGTATATTTTAGAACAAATTATAAAACTATTTATATTTCAAAAGTTTTCTTATAAAATTGCTTTTTGTTTCTAAATAAAATTATTTTTTGTAAAATTTCATATATAGATAGTTTATATATTATATATGTACTATATATATTGCATATAATATATATACATGTACTGCATATATGTTACTATTTTATAAATTACTTAATAAAGATATGAGCAAGACTTCACATTAAAAAAAAAATTAAAAAATAAAAAAAATAAAATAATAATATATATAATATATACTGTATGTACTATATATATTATATATTAAAAAAATCTGAATATTATATAAATAACACATTACTAGACAGACTTATATAATAAGAAATAACTATTATATATATGTACTTATTGGACAGATGACAAAAAATAACAGTTAATTTTTTTTAATAGAGTTAATTTTACTCATATATTATATTATAATATATAAAGTGATATTAATTTTGATAAAAAAAATTAATTGTTATTTGTTATATATATGTTTAATAATAATATTATTAGTTAGTTAATATACATATTTATATAAAGTTTTTTTTGTGAGGATGGTGATCCTAGTGTAGTGGTTGGGTTGTTATTCTCCAAGTGGCAGGTCTAAGGTTTAAATCCTATCTACGATGAAATTTGGAAATTAACCTGCATTACAGCTAAACTGTATCTTGTCGATCAGTTGGATTTAGGTATCTGTAATCTTGAGTATAATCAATCAGGTTCTACTTATCATTGGGAGCCTGGGGCATCTATGTAAAGTGTAATGTTATACATACATAGAGAAATGTTAAAACTGGGATTGCATAAGATTCCGGTACAAACCCATGATAAGACCACTGGATGTAGAAGACCAAAAAACTGAGAAGACAGAATCCCACTTGGAAATCTCGAGAAAGAGGTAGCAAAAACCTTTGATTGTGCTGTTAGACTAATGGAAGCCCAAAAAACTCCAATAAGGAATAGGCAGACATGCAACTGGATGGAAAGATATATAAAGGAGCATATGACCAACCAGGCTGCCGAAATCGCTAGAGAAAAAAGATACCAAAAGGTATATCAGACTGGGCTATCTGGATTGGAAGTTTGGGGAGTCTGTCGGATTCTGAGTTGGATAGTATAGGGATGAAGAGAAGAAGTCAGAAAGATAGATACCAGGGTTTGGATGAACTTTCAAGAGTAAAAATAGTGTAATGTAGCAGTTTAAGGTTAGCTCTAACTGCAAGTGTTAGGTAACTATAATGTGTTATATAAAATCCAGGTTAGCTTTGTATGGGACACAGAGGCTCTGGTAGGTTTACCTTGAGGATAAAATAGTCCTAAGGTTGAAACAAGGAACTGGGCTTAATCTAGTAAAGTTGGTACAAGAGTTTCAGATCAGAGGATTTAAATGGAACACTTAAGCAGAGGTGTTAGGTACAGCAACTGGTGGGAAACCTTTGGGCAGACCTCTTAAATAGGTAATATAGAAAAATTACATGTGTAGCCAGTTGTACACTCATCATGATACCTGACAGAAGTATTAATAAAGTCAAAAGACCAAAGAGGTCACCTTAATATCAAAAAAAAAAAAAAAGTTTTTTTTGTGATATTTTGCAAAACTAATTATATAATTTCATATAAAAAATATTATTAAAAAAATTTTTCTAATTATATAAAATATTAGATA